CACAGTGTTTGTCACCAGGAAAGGCCTTGGTATGGAAATCTCTCTGCAGCGAAGCAAGCTGCTGATTTCCTTCTTATTGCTTGTTTTTGAGTGGCTTTTGATACAGCTTTTGGAGCAACTGTGGGCATATAGAACAGCTACATACATCTGTGAATTCAGATAGATCTAACAAGTGCATTTTACAGGCATAAAACAAGTAACAAGCAACTCTGAGCCTTATAATCTTGCATAAATGTGCCACTTTATGCCATACCATAAATACTAAGAATGCTTTTTTTTGTTAAGGATATTGATTTTCCAATAACATTACTGGTGGAATGGAAATGTCTATAGCATTGCAGGTCTTTGTTTAAAGGAAATAAACATGTGGAGATCTTGAATCATGAATATATTATCATGAATAATAAAGCAGCGGGAGCTCACTGGTGTTGTCACTATGTTGTGTCTGACAGGAGAATTATAGTGCAAGAGAACCTGCTGTAAGGACACCTTGAAATATTATTTGATCTTGTACAGGGGCAGCGATGGCAGCATTAGACAGTGTTATGATGGATGATAGGCAGGGATGGTCTTTCTCACATAAGTATTACAACTGTGCAAAACACAGAGCTGCACATGAAGTGGCAAACTATCCTGGATTTCAAACAGAATGACATGGCATAGCAGGTCATTTGCAGACTTTCTCTAATATTCAAAATGTGTTTCTGATGAAGGTTAAGATTAGAAAGAAGCAAATCATTTGCTGAATACAGTTGTTTTAGATCAACAAAGGTTAGCTTAAGTAATATTTAGGAGTGTCTAAATTCATGAAGTCATCTGGATGATCCTGATTTGCAGAAAGTAGGAAAAAGTGGGCCTGTTGTGGAGGGCCGCACCAATAAGTAGGACTGGATAATTTGTTTTATCAAAGGATGAGAAGCTGGGACTGTTGTGAAGGGCTACACCAATGTGAAAGGGTGGGCCACATGAATAACTGGGATTGTTGTTGAGGGCTGGAGCAATAAGCAGGGCTGGGCAATTAATATTTCCAAGGACTGATAGTTAGGAGGACAGGGGGACTGTTGTGGAGAGCCACACCAATTAACTTATAAAGGCCCTTCACAACAGATCCAACTTCTCATGTGGCTCCTGCCCACCTGCTCAGGATATGTGGTTGTCTGCCCTCATTATCAGCTGTGGCTTGTCAGTTTCCACCTGTCACAAATTTTGCTATCCACCTGTCAGTCAGAGTATTCGATGTGTATGAAACACTGGCTGAGACCCCCGAAATGAAGAAAATTAGGAGTGGAAGTTGAAACAGTGCATATCAGACTCTATTGCACAGTTGATTACATAAATAATGACTAAAAAGCATGGAAATGATGGCATAAACTAGTGCAAGTTTGCAAGTAAAGGTGGCTTTTCACTGATTTTTGCATAAATAAGGCCAAGCTGCACATTTATTGTAAAAAACACAAATGAGTCATGTTCAGATGGAGGAAATATCTTCTCATTTCTGCAGTATGTTGCTAGACTGAGCTGTGGGGAATTTCTTGATGTTCCTCCAGAAACTATTTGCAGGCCATAGACATGTGATTTATATTTCTGTGGTATTCGGCTCCTCTGACATTTACTGCATGGTAACATCAAGACAAGCGATAGGAGCTGACTCTTCTCCTCTGCTGGCCTCTTCTCCTGCCATCCATCTTCGAATGTACTTTCCATTTTCTGTCATCAGCGTCCCTTTGTCTTTCTCACATCTCATTTTCCTCTCTCGAGCCTGCGCTGTCATCTGTTGTGAGCTTTTTTCCATCCCATTATCACCTCATACATATTTGCCTCAGCTTTCAGCGTCTCTTGCTTTTTTTTTTACTGCCTTTCCTCGTTGTTTTCTGTGCTGGAGCATTTGACCTCACACGCTACTTTGTAAAACTGGAGTTTAGTAATTAATTATGGATTTTCCTACATATCTGGACCTGTTAACAGTGGTGCAAATGACTATGTGAGATGAAAGTCATAGCTAATAAATCGACAAAGAAATACCACAGATTGTAAAATTTCCCCTCATTTTAGTGACCTAACAACACTCACTCACACCACTTTCAATTGCAGCACACGGTCGTTTTAATGGAAAAAGCCCTAACTAACCCACAAAGAGCTACATAGCTTATCACCAAACAGCACTCAGTCAAACTTCACAACCAGCTGGAGAACATGATGAGATATTCAAGCACTATAAAGGAAGTTATCATCTTTAGGGACTGATGGAGACCAAAAACTGAGCTAAAAAGAGAATAAATATTGTACTTTTATGTAAATTATGAACATATTATAGGCATATATGAACATTTTTTGCTCCACAGGGTGGTCTATCAGTGGACTCGATCTCTGACCTTGTAGAGAGTCAGTCTCGCCTGCTGGAAGCGCTGCAGCTTTCCCACCCGGCTGAACTGGAATTGATCAAGTCTCCGGGTGGCAGCTCGTCGGAGGGGAGGACCCAAACCAAGCTCAGCCTCAACCCCATCTACAGACAGGTGCCTCGGGTGCTGGAGAGGTGCTGCAGTCACATCGAGACTTATGGTGAGGCTTTAAGTCCCCCAAATTTTCAGCCTTTCAGTGTCGTTTATTTGAGTCCATCCATATGTAAATTTTTAAAAGATGGTGTGTGGTAACATTTTGTATTCCAGGTCTTCAGACTGTGGGTATCTTCCGAGTCGGCAGCTCCAAGAAGAGAGTGAGACAGGTTAGGATAATTATTCCAATTAATTTAATTAAAATAATAAATTAATTTAAATTATTTTATTTTATATGTTTTCCACTAATAATATACCATTAATATTCTGAGTTTTTGTTGTTGTTTATTTGGGGTCCAACTCCTCCTGATATGCTGATAACTGAGGAAAAAAGCTGGAAAAAATATACAGAAACTTGTTCATTCACATTTTCCCTGAAAAAAAAACAAACATGGATTATTGCCAGCCATAGAGGAGTGGTATAGGTCTACATGTCCCCTGATTCACCGTCGTGTGTTTCCTGTCGGTCTATGCTGGATGCACGAATATAAAAATAATCTTTGAGCGAAAAGCTGATGATGTGTGAGATCCTGTTTTTGAGAAATGTGTCCATCGGGGAACCGTGGCCCTGTCGTGACCTGAACATGAGTTTGAAGGCACTCTTGTGGTTGTTTTTAAACACTAATATGTGTGTTTGTTTGCGTGCGTGCTCCTCAGCTACGAGAGGACTTTGACGTGGGCGTTGACGTCCAGCTGGATGAGGAGCACAGCGTCCACGATGTGGCAGCGCTGCTCAAAGAGTTTCTGAGGGACATGCCGGATCCTCTGCTGCCCAGAGAGCTCTACCCCGCCTTCCTGCATGCCAACTGTATGCATGCGCCCCCCCAATACACACATACAGACACACACAAAAACACACACTGGCTTTAATGATTGAGTTTCAGTTTTTGTTTCAGTATAATTAGTGATGTGATGGGTAACTAACTTCCTCCTTCTCTTCCTCCTCTCTGGGCCTCCTGCAGTTCTGAGAGGAGCAGACCAGCTGCAGTACCTCCAGCACCTCCTCTACCTGCTGCCTCCCTGTAACTGCGACACACTGCTGCGCCTCCTCACCTTGTTACACACCGTGCAGAGCTTCGCACAGGACAGCATAGGAACCAACGATGAGGAGGTGGGACCAATGACCGATAAAGTCTTCCTCAGCCTTTGGAAGCTCTCGTAGTAGTGGCATCGAGGTCGAAGCCACACAAACACAAAATTAAAGCATTCGCCCTAACCCTTTAAAGGGCAGTGTCAGTCCTTCAAGCACATAAATATAATATCATTTCTTAATCGAATTCCATCCATTTCCAGTAAAAAACACTCGTAACAGAGGCAAAGAAACAAAGAAAGTTGGCACCACAGTGCAGTAACTGTTCCCACATTCAAAGACAGAAGGTGGTCGTTGGGGGTTCTCGGTTGTGGAGGAACTCATTGTATATTAGACTGTGTCATTAACCTTCTTATTTTACCGCCATGTTTCTCTTAACATTCAGATTTTATGCTTGTGATTTATTCTTTGGGGGAACGCTGATTTTAATTTTTAAACTACTGAAATTTCTTGTGTGTTTCATAAATATTATGCACATAAATGTTGTTATTATTATTGGTAGCACTTTATGATATTGCCACACTATTAAACATTATTAAGGTATTAGCA